GGGGGAGGCTGAGTGACTCTCCCTTCTGGCTCCTTCCCTTCCCCAGCTGGTGCGCATCGCCAAGGTCTTGGGCACCGAGGACCTCTATGACTACGTTGACAAGTACAACGTGGAGCTGGACCCCCGCTTCAACGACATCCTGGGCAGGTGGGTGAGTTGGCAGGGACCCCTCCCAGGCACTCTGTGTGTGCGTGCGTGCGTGTGCGTGTGAAGAGCGGCTCCAGGACCTTCTCCCCTTTTCCCTCCGGGCCAGGCATTCCCGCAAGCGATGGGAGCGCTTCGTGCACAGTGAGAACCAGCACCTGGTCAGCACCGAGGCCTTGGACTTCCTGGACAAGCTCCTGCGCTACGACCACCAGGCGCGGCTGACGGCCCGGGAGGCCATGGAGCACCCCTACTTCTGTGGGTAGCAGCCTCGGCTGGGGTCCCCCCCATTTCCCCCCCCGTCCCCCGTGTGCCTCAAGCCCCCTGGATTGGAGCTGTGTCATCTGGCGGCCCCTCCTGCAGGGGCTTCTTGGTCGGCCCTGCTGCTCCCGCCCTGCCACCCCGATGCCGCCCCTGGCGCTGCCCTCCTTCCCTGGTTCCCGGCTGGGCTCAGCTGCCCCCTCCTGGGGGCTGAGAGGGCCTGAGGCAGCCTGAGCAGGGGGAGCCGTCCACCTGCGTCACCGCTGCTTCCCCCTCTCCCTCTCCGCCCAGATCCGATCGTGAAGGACCCGGCCAGGCTGGCTTCCTCCACTGTCCTTTCCTCATCGAACACACCTGTCAGCTCGTCCAGCATGTTGGCAGGTAGGCCCCTGGGCTGTAGCTGGGTTGGGGGAGGGAAGGGGGGGCGTGCCAGCCGTACCACTGGGGGCTTTGGCTCCTGGGGGCTGTTCGTCCAGGGAAGAGCATGGATGAGCCTCCTTCCCTCACCCCTTCTTTCCTCCTTAATCAGAACGGAGCTGGAAGGGACCGTGGAGGTCTTCTAGTCCAGCCCCCTGCTCAGGCAGGAGATATTTCAGACAGTTGGCTCTCCAGTCTCTTCTTCAAAGCCTCCGCTGATGGAGCAGCCACAGCTTCTTGTGGCGGGCAGTTCCACTGGAGTTTCTCCTTCGTTCTGGGTTGCTCCTTTCCTTGACTAGTTTCCATCCGTTGATTCCATCTTGTCCTGCCTTCAGGTGGACTCCCCCCTTCCTTGGGGCAGCCCCTCAACCCTGCCCTCGTGCCACCCCAAGTCCCCCCTTTCCCAGACCATCCGTGCCCAATTCCTGGAGCCGTTCTCCCTCTGCTTCTGTCTTCCTTTCCCTTCTCTCTCTCCTCCTGCAGGAATCGCCTCCATGGCAGCCTCTCAGCCAATGGGCAGCTTGGCCGCCTCCCCCGTCATTGCCTCTCCGAATGCGCTGGGCTCGCCAGTCCCTGCGGCCGCTGGAGCTCAGCCCTGACCACCGGGAAACCACGCCTGGCTTTGAGCACCGCCGTAGCCTCAGCTGTGGCCTCCTCCTCCTCCTCCTCCTCACCCCGCCTGCCCGCCTCTGCATGGCGCTACTGACGCCCGGGGCGGGTAGGAGGACGGCCAGGCGTGGCAGGGCGGAGGGCTCCTGCATCCGGATCCCGAATTCTTCTCTTTGTTTCTGTTGAGTGTGTCGAGGAGCCACCGCCGCCGCTGCTCTTCCGCCTCCTCTCCTCGGCGGGGCCACAAAGGCAGACTCTGGTTACAGGCAGAGGCTTCTACTCTGGGGTGATATGTGTCGAGTCCCGTCGGCTGCATTCTTCCCAGGAGGGTCGTGGTTAGTGATGCAGCTACAGTGTAGACACCTGAGCGGAGAATAAAATTTATTTTCTATGTCCCTACAAGGGGGAGGTGTTGGGCCCTGCTTCTTCCTGGGGGAGGGGATGCCAGAGTGTAGGGTGTTGAGGTATTCCCCGTTAGGAGAATGAGTGCACTCAGGGAAACATAGTGAGAGCGGTGATGAATTAACACACAACCAGCACACAGATGCACTGAATAGTAAAAATGTAAGTTTTACTTCCTGTAAACGGGTAAAGAAAGTCCAACAAACAGTCCAAATCATACACGGTTAAAGCAGTATCATCAGTCCAAGGATAATCCAAAAACGAAGTTCTTTTCTTTACCAGTATCATAAACGAGTAAAAGGAGTTTGCAAACAGTTGCAAGACTCACAGCAATTCCAGCAGAATGACGATCAGGCAAAAGGGCAGCAAAGGAAATGCAAAAAGAACAAACCAGGTTTCTGGCTCCATCTTATGGCCGTTGGAGGAACCTCAGCCAATCACAATGACAACATTCTCTTAAAGATACAACAGTATTAAATGACTATCCTGGTTTATATACCGCCAACCCAACTGTTAGGTGACTATCATTCCTAACATAGGGGGCTCCAACTCTGGCCACTTTTGAGGTGGGGGGGGGGGGGTTCCACGCCCAGAATTCCCCAGCCAGCCACGGAAG